GGTTAAACCCAATTCTCATCCTCGCATTGTGAAGTTATTGCTGCATTCGGAATTTCTGTGCTTCCATAGGAGTAAAGAGAAGAACAAGACAGGCAGAGAAGTTTTCATTTCCATATCTGTAACAAATATTTGCTGCCCAAATGTAACAATAGCAGCGTAGTATATGGCTGTGTGGCCTTGGTGGCTTTAAAATCATTAACTTACCCTAATGACAAGAAATATTTCAATTACATAGCTTGAGAAAAGAGATTAAAATCAAATTTCCATCTTCCAAAGAGTTATACTCAGTTTGTAATTCATAAAGCCTTAAGTGTCACACCATCCAAAAGATGCACTGTACTTAAGTTTTCCGGTAGTTTCTATAACTATGATCACTCAACTTGTAATTCTAAATTTAACACGGTCCCCTCAGTCATATATTGTGACCTACCTTAATAGCCATTATCTTTTCCCAGTCCTAAGTGGGCCTTAACAGAGTCAGTTGATTAAGCCTTTGATCGGTAATCATACATATCTGATGGGTTTTAAACTATTTAGCATGCTAGATATTTTAATGGAATTTCAAGACACAGACATACTAATTTGTTGCTATATAAAACCTACTGATTTACAGCTCAATAGCATCTTTATTTGACCTTAGAGGAGAAGCTGAACCAACTGCTAATGCAACTCAAGTATTCTTTGCACTGAAGTTTTCTACTCTTGTGAAATTAATTGTCAAATATTATGATTAATAATGAATGTTAATTACAGCTATTAATTATTTTAGTCTGCCTTTGCATACATCCAAGTTCATTAAGATAATCTGTTCAAAAATGAAGGGCTAGATTACATAACTAATGAATTAGATTCTCCCTCTCTCACTCACTTCTGTTGCTAAGCGAGACAGTTGTTAAGTGAATTTTGTCCCATTTTATGACTGTTCTTGCCACAGTTGTTAAGTGAATCACTGCAGTTAAGTTACTAACCCGGTTGTTAAGTGAATCTGGCTTCCCCATTGACTTCGCTTGTCAGAAGGTCGCAAAAGGTGATCACGTGGCCCCAGGACACAGCAACAGTCATAAATATGAGTCAGTTGCCCAGTGTCCAAATTTTGATCATGTGAGCATGGGGATGCTGCAATGGTTGTAAATGTGAAAAATGGTCATGTCACTTTTTCAGTGCAGTTGTAACTTCGAACGGTTACTAAATGAACTGTTGCAAGATGAGGACTACCTGTACATGAAAGGGATAGATAAAGCATAGCATCCAACTAGACTCTTGACTCTTGAGAGTCTCTGGGCAAAAGGCAGAAGAGCCTGAGACTGATTGGGGAGGGGGGGTTAACATCATTCACACCAACCAAAGTGTTTTCTTAAAGATGCAGAATGGAAGAGGGATCGCTGGGCGCCCAAAATGCCATCGCCATCTTTTTATGTACATAAAAGAGTTAGTGATGAAATAACCAATAACTGTCCAGGCCAATTACTCACAATGCTTGCCAGGGACTCTGAAACCCTCTATACTTTTTGGTACAGATAAGATAATGTCAGTTTGCCAGTTAACTTTTGTGCTGATGCTTTGCTAAGGTTTAATATAGAAACATCAAGGTATATATTTTCCTGGCTGAGCTGAGGGTTATGTGCCTTTGCTCTGATCTGAATATAGGGATTGCCTGGTTACCCCCAGTAATTTCACAGCATCGATGGTGTCCTAGAAAAGAGCAAGACAAGAGAAAGGCAAAGAGGGAATGCAGAGTAATTCTAATGATCTATGCAGGTAGTCCTCAGCTTACAACAGTTCGTTTAGTGACCATTCAAAGTTACAGTGGCATTGAAAAGAGTGACCTATGACCATTTTTCACACCTATGACTGTTGCACCATCCCTGTGGTCATGGGATCAAAATTTAGACACTTGGCAACATTTATGACAGTTACACTGTCCCGGGGTCCTGTGATCCCCTTTTGCGACCTTCTGACAAGCTAAGTCTATGGGGAAGCCAGATTCACTTAATGACCGGGTTACTAACTTAACTTCAGTGATTCACTTAACAACTGTGACAAGAACAGTCATAAAATGGGGCAAAATTCACTTTACAACTGTCTTGCTTAGCAACAAAAGTTTGGGGCTCAATTGTGGTTGTAAGCCGTGGATTACCTGTATTGCAGTTGGTCAATGGGTTGTAAAGTCCTGAAAAATCACACTTTCCACAAAAATGTCATGTCAGGAGAAAGAATGATTGCTTGATACTACAGAGATCTCAGAGTTTCAGAAATTTAGACAACTGCTGGATGTGTGTTCTGCGATCTGGATGTAGCTGCTCATTCACTTGCAGAATCATGCTTTTCAGAATAGAAGTAAATTTATCCTTCTATAGTAAGGATAAATTACTATAGTAATTTCTATTCAGGTGGATGGAAGCTATTCTTTCAGCACAAAAAAAAGCATTAAACAAGCAACTTTCCTCTGTTACTTGCAGAATACTGAGGTCAAGTCCCCCCCCCAAAAAAGCTATGGCAATTAATTGAATTCATAAATGGATTTCTCCATTTTTATTGACCAGAAGTTCCAGATGTGCCCAAAACATGTTTTATAGGCATGGGAAACAATAATCTCTCTTTCCTATTCAGTTACGGGTATATCAGGAACAAGATTTTAGATATGTACCTACACTGATGGACAATCATAGGTGAAAAAATGAATGGTATTAATTGACTCTGGCTTAACAAATCTCCAGAAGATTGTGCAAAGCCCACAGTGGTATTATTCTAAACAGGGAAGCCACACATTTCACTCCAAAGGAAACAATTGAGAGCCACAATAAGAATATGAGTTTCCTCCTGACCAGACTCCAATGCCCATTTACATGCCATTTTCTCTTTCCCTCTTCTTTCCTGCCCAACAGCATTTCACTGTTCTCGGAGTTTTCCATCTACATTGCAATACTGCTACATTTCTTTTCCCCTCAAGGTTCTTTCCAAAATATTTTGTGCACATCTGGAAATTCTGGTCAATTAAAATGGAGAAATCCATTTATTAATTCATTCATTAATTCAATTAACTGCCATAGCTTGAGATTTCTTTGTGACTTGGCCTCGATATTCTGCAAATAACAGAGAAAACTTGCTTGTTTAACACTTTTTTTATGCTGAAAGAATTGAAAGATAAGATGTGGTGGCAATGGCAGTAACACACGGGATGTGAATACATTTACGAGTTTCATTATGACATGAAAACAAAGTATGGCCATTATATTTATGACTGGATGTTTCTGAAGTAAATGACAAGACATTGATTATCAATAATGGAAATCAAAATGAAAATGGAAGTAATGTTAAAAGACAAAAACAACCCAGATCATGTATTTAACACATAGAAGCAAAAAAGGTAGTTCTCTATCTGTAAAAAACATGTAATTACAGTTTAAATTAGAAGTAAATCAACAGTGAATTATTGAAACCTATGATAAAAAAAGTTCTGCTGCACTATATTCAATTGCTGGAAGCCCTTACCTTGCCTTCACCATAGGTGTGCAATAAGAAGCAGTGTTGGGTTAGATATCTGTAATAATGAATTCTAATTAGTCTAGACTTTAAGCTGATTTGGCATGTTCCTAAGAAGAATTTTCCAAGATGGATTGGGATGAGATGTGATGGAGCCAACTCAGTGACAGAGGACAGAGTTGGTATTTACTAGATTCCAAGATCAATCCCCAGCATTGATAGCTGAAAAAACAATCACTAATCAGAATATTGATCAGTAATGTAGAAGGAAATGGTTAAATAGTTCTGTTCCTTGCAAGCTGCTTTTCCTTTCTGCTGTAGAAAGCAATGGGGCATTTTCTTTCTTGCAAATGAGATTCACGCAGCCTTATTATTTAAGAGAACAGATTGTCTTTTACTTTCATGGGTATATTTAGTTTATTTGTAAGTTTTTCACAGTACATTGATGGTAATCTTTGAGGTATCATTCCTTGATTATGCCAGAGGGATAGTATTTCAGAAGAAGTTCAACATTTTTAATTTCTTTGAGTAGATAGTCAAATAAAACAAAAAAGAATGTTGGCTGAATTCTGTTTATCATGATTACTAAGTTCTTTAAGTAGGGTAAATCCATCATCTCTTCTATTGGAAACTCAGGAGACCTTGGAACAAAATGTTCAAATCCAAATGACCATTAAGAAATTAATCACAAGCTTCCAAAGGAACCCAGAATCGAAACTCAAAGATGTGCTAAAATATATTTCATTTGACACAGACTGTAATTACTATAGTTTTTCTGAATTCACATGCATTCTGTGTCAATATCTTAATGGACAACATGAAAAATATCTGTAGTACTTATTTATTACATTTATATAGCTGCTCATCTCATATAGCAACTCTATATTATTGACTAACCAACATTCTGACATCATTTAGAATGTAAATACCTAACAATATAGTCTTGGTCTGTAGGGCTCACTGGAGCAAGCTTCATGTTGCCAGATTCCAGGACTCAGAAAAGGATGATGATGAGGACTGAAGCTTTAACTGAACTGAAGCGATATGTATCATGGACATTATTTGATTGTAATAACTTATACATAAAATACATTTTGTTGCCTTGAATGAAAACTACATAGGGAATTGAAAGAAATGAATTAACACCAGAATTATTGGATAATCGCACATCTTAAATGCTTTCAGGTCAAGACTTTTCAAATTAACTGGTTTTGCTCTTTGATGAATTCTTGCTTTGCTCATTGCTGTTTGAGGTTAGTTGTGCACGCCTTGAGCCAGCCCACAACTTCCTTTTCAAAAAGCCATAACAAAACTTTGATTACCTTTTCAGGTATTTCTCTCTCTCTCTGTGCATCTATTTCTTATTTCCTCATACAGAAACAGTGTGAATTCTCCTATTTTTGTCAAAACGAAATCTTGTAATTCTGAGAAAGTATCTTCCTAGTAACCTGGCATGCTAGATAGAGACTTGAATTGTTCCAGCTTGAATTGACTTGGATTGAACATCTGACTGAGAGATGATTTCACTTCTGCTAACCCTTGTGGTTTACAACATAGCTTCTGGCTTCACAAAAGGTGGGTAGATCAAAGTGGTCAAATTTTTTCAGGGTTAAAGAATGGTCAAGAAGAGATGTGAATAATTCATGGCAACTGGGTTATTGATGTGATGGGGATTGTTATTTGTACCTTGCAAAGAATAAGAAAACATGTTATTGCCCAAAAACTCTCACAAATTGTATATTGTTGTTATTTTTTCCATATTACTTTTACTCTGTTGTTCAATCAAGAAATATAACTTAGGAAATAAACTGCCACATACTTGTAGGTTTATAATACGAAAAACATGGCAATAAAGGAAAAGGGATTATGGAGGAGAAGAAACATCTTCAATTACTAAATTCTTAGTTACAAAATTCAACCCATTCATCAGGTGCTTATTCTCTGTCTAATAGAGCAGCAATTGGTAGGAGAAAAGGTAGATGCTCAGCTGGAGCCCAGATATGATGGGTGGATGGGCTGACAAACTATAATATATAAGGGAGAAAATATTAAGAAGAAAAGACAGTGAAATATATTCTTTATATTGTCTGCTAACTTTTATATATAATTATGTAGATACTCTAATGCACATTCCAATTAAACTATAGACAGTGGTGGGATTCAGCCAGTTTGCACCAGTTCAGCAGAACCGGTAGCTAAGTTTTTGTTGCCCAGCCCCAGAATAAACTTCCAGAAGCGGCATCCACACAGAGAACCGATTATTCATCGGTTCCCATCACTGACTATAGATATAATTTCTGCATAGTCTTGGGAAATTAGTTCTCTTTTACTCTGTTTTTATAAAGACAGTTAAGCAACTAATAGGAAAGTAATAATAAATAAGGTATCCTAAACCAAGATAAATTGGTTTGAAAGACTTACTAGATCAATGTTGAAAGTATACCTAAACTCATGGATTAAAACACATAAATGACTGAAAAATCAGTGTCATCCCTTTTTGTGGCTAGGATTTTTTCTTACAAAGATGATTTTTTTTATGCAAAACTCTGTTCTGTTTTTGTTTTTGTATTAGTCATGGAAGTGACCCAGCCAGCATTCATGGTGGTAAAGAGACCAGAGGCCGCCCACTTTGAGTGTAAAATCAAGAACATTGGCAATGCTGAAGATCTAAAAGTAACTTTACTTAAAGCAGAAGACAATGAGTCAACTGAGATCTGTGCCTCAGCCTTTACTAGGACTGGGATCACATTAGGCAGCAAGAAGGAAAACCACAGATGCCAAGTTTATCCTGGTCCTGACTGGGTAAATGTAACACTTTTGGGTGTACAGTCAAGTGATGCTGGTTTGTATATTTGCCAGATTGAACGGATATCCCCTCCACCCTACTATCCAGTCGAAGGAAAGGGGACCCAGCTCCTTGTCATTGGTAAGTAGAGAAAACCTAAAGGTGCTTTAAAAAATTGCTGAGAAAAGGAATTCATGAATGTATCTGATTGTTTGAAATTGACTAATACAGTAGTTTGTAACCCCAACAACACGCCTTGCATAAGGTTCCCTTATGTGTGCTTATCAAAGGCCATATAGCAATGTCTCTCAACTTAGGCAATCTGAAGATATATGGACTTTAACTCTCAGAATTCCCCAGCCAGCATATCCCATCATATAACTGAGTTGAGTTAGGATTGCTAAAGAAATTAATTGCTTTAATTTTTTTTAGCATATTGAGTTCTGAGTTCATTAATAGCACTATTCCCAATCAACCATATTAGCCAAATCCTCTGAGTCAACTAATTATGAGTATTTGTAAATCATGCTAGATTACTTCTAGGGGCTTCATGCCAGGTCACAATACAAGGAAAAGAAGGGGCTCACTTTTTCTTTCTGGGATGTGATCCTCTTCCTAGAACTGAGCAGTTTTTCCCAAACCAAACTTGTGTTGCCTAAAAAGTCTTTCAGGTTGAGTGAATAGTTCTTTATCTGCACAGAAGCATCAAAATACTATAAAGCTATTTTGATGCTTTATGAAATGTAGCAAATCTCACTGTTGTTGCTGCATCACTTTATTTATCTACATGGAAATGTAAAAAGAATAGTTTTGACACATTCCCACCCCATGAAGTTTGTAGCCTAGTAATGCATATCTAGGAAGGCATTTTTGATTAAATCTAAAATCTCCATAATCTTTTGAAGGTTTCAAGATGAACCTAGACAAAGACATTGTAAATAAGTAACTATATTTTTTTCTTCACTGTGTTAAAATATAATTTATGTTGTTCTGATTTAGTGCAATACTGATTAGTCTTTAACATTTTTGTTGTAGAATCTTTGGAATGATTATTTTTTTTTATATATAAAATTTCAGATGTAGATTCGTGCCCAGATAAACATCTCTATCTTTGGATCTTAGTACCAGTAGTTTCTGGGTTGCTTGGATACAGCATTTTAATCACAATCTTCATTATGGTGGACATGGTAAGTATCATAATACAACACTCCACATGGGAAGCAAATCAAGAAGATTTATTACTCTAATGAACATACACCCTTAGAATTATGAGATTTTTTCACACACTATGCATATTTTAAGCTATGTAAAACAAAGAAGTCCTCTGGATTTTGGGTTGGAAGTTCTTGTGACTAACAAAGAACTACCTCAGGTCCTGCTAGCTATACATTTTGGGACTGCCATGGCCAGTTTATGATTTTGGTGCTCTGCCAAGTGCACAAAAGGACTCGAGGTTCTCTAAAGCTATGAAAACTTCCATCAGTTGCCTCCTGACTTCAGAGTTAATGATAGCATGAGTTTTTACCACCATAATGAGGCTTCAGTGGCAGAACTCCACCATCTGTAAAGGGAAAGGGAGGTATATAAAACTGTGATACCCTTGCCGGGAACAGAAAAACATATCAGAAATATATTAGGTGAATTGCACTAGTCCCTGAATATAGCTTAGAAAACTGAACTAGTTACTAGTCTTCACCTTCTCCCGCCTGCAGTAAACACCAGAAAATAGAATCTCCTGAATTCTACCTGATGGCATCAAAAATGTGGCATGATTCAAGTGAGATTTCAACTTCCATCTGTTTTTTAATCACTCAAATGTTATTAAATAATGGTCAAGGATTCTTAATCCAAGTGACTCTCTGTATAATCAATAGGATTCATTTAATTGTCACCATTTTGGTGTCACACAGATACAGTAGCAAATTCATTATTATATGGTGTCTTAAATGGTAACTAACTACATTTTGTTTTGCTTCAATGAATGTGATTGAATCAGGTGATCTGCTTAAATCTTACTGTGCAAAACCAACATCCTGGTGTTAATCATAATTGCTATTGCTTTACTTTATTGATATTGTTATTTTTAAAAGACAACTCACAAGGAAACAAAGCAATTCTACACACACTTTTTGTCTCAAGACATTTTTACTATATTTGCTTCCAACAACAGGCAACCAAATGATAATATTTGTGTATTCACTTCCATGTCAAATCTACCCATCTTGTTTCAAACTACAATCCTGATATTGTCATAACTGGCATTTTACAATAACCAATTGTGAATTTAGAGTAATCATTACTAACCAATATTGGCGGATTATAGATATATCAATTTATAAAAATCTACAATAGCATTTAAAACCTTTCTTACTTGCAGTTTCAGATAACATTTCTTTTATTTTACAGGTCAGAAAAAAACGTTATTTTTCTCCAGGGGCTTATGAGAAAATGATACCAATGTAATCAAAAAGAAAAGGACTTCAATGGAAAAAGGGGAAAAATGACTTCTATGAAGTGTCAATGAAGAGAATGAATTTCCTAATAACTAGGAATATAATTATAATTTCCAGTTTGGAGAATGAGAGGCAAGGCAATGTATTAACATGTAAATGCTGAAATTAAATAACAAATCTATTGAATCATTGAATTAATTTGGATGCATCGATACCTTTGCCTAGAGCAAGGTCAATTTTCCTTGTGAAAAATTATCACAAATTTCTTTATAATAGTAATAGCCTCATGTTATATTCAGTCCAATTAGTGGATAAAGTATTTCGTGGAGTGCTCCATTCCAGTTTAGCTGGATTGGTTTCTGAGCTCGACTTTTTCATTGGCCAAATGCACTTGATTTTGGTCTTATCTTTTTATAACATTTGGATTTCTTGTAGAAGCAAACCAAGGCAGACCGCAGAGGAAGCAGACAAGATCAGTCCTGAACATAAACAATTAAATAAAATTATAGCAACAATACCAAATCAGAGTAAGGCCAGGAAGCCTATATTCCAAAGATGCTTCCTGATGATAACATTTAGTTCTGACTATGAGATAAACTCAGGAATCAGAATAACAAGCCTCCATCTGCTCTTAGCCCCAAATTCTCCTCACTTGTATCCCCTTAACTCAGGGGTCTTCAAACTTGGCCCTTTTATGACTTGTGGACTTCAACTGCCAGAATTCCTCAGCCAGCGTTGAAGTCCACAAGTCATAAAAGGGCCAAGTTTGAAGATCCCTGCCTTAACTGCTAAATGTGTATGCATTTATCACTATCAAATGTTTTTAAAGTCTTTGTTGCCTCACCATCACAGACCAAGCTTTACATTCTAATACAAGAAGTAAGACATTTTCTTTCTTTCCTGAAAGAGCTTCTCACTGTTACCTGAGCTTGGTGTGTGTGTGTGTGTGTGTGTGTATGCTCAGATATATGCCAGCCTTTTCTTTCTCTTAAAACACTTTCATTCTTACCATCTATTCTGAGCTTCTATACTTCATCCCAACTTTGCTTCAATCTCCTTTTGCCATTCTATTTAAGGAATGTTTGGAAAATAAAAGTGTAAGTGTCAAAAGTATTTCAGTGATTTTGCAAGGAAATATAACTAACTGCATGTGAGATGAACCACAGAAAAATATTAATCCTCAAGCTAACTAAAGATTCTGGCATACTAGAGATTTCAAAAAAGAAGAAAAAAATCTACACAATATACAAATGTTTATAATTATGCAAACATTACTGAAGCTAATGAAACATATATTTGAGGAATTTTGAGGGAAAGAGAGACTCCAAGGAGTATATATCAATGTATTTTCTATAGCAGTGGGAAGTGTTTTTTTATGGCATTCTTTTGTTTTATACACATACACACACTCCATAACAAGGGATTGTTGTTGTTTTTTTGTCTTTGGCAATTGTCTGGACAAGTCCCTGCAGTCTTTTTGGCAAGATTTTGGAAGTGGGTTGACCTTGCCTCCTTCTAAGGGCTGAGAGACAATGACTGGTCCAAGGTCAGGAAGCAAGCTTCGTGACTAAAGGGGGACTACAATGCCCAGTCTCCCAGTTTCTACCCTGTTGCCTTAACCTCTACACCAAATTGCCTCTACTCCTACTAAGTCATTGTTTAATCCCATTCATTAGGTCACATGTAACTTTAAAGATATATATGGAAAGCAAAATGCAATATATTTTGTCTCAAGAATTCAAGATAATTCTTGATGTACTTGAGAACCACTCTTAATTAGCTTGTGCATCCAATGTACTTGTGTTGTTCTAACAGAAGTACATTTTTTATTGTTTCTAAGAAGACTCTTCAAAAGCTTTTAGGGAGTATTGGTAATGAAGTGTGTGGCTGGGATACAAAAGAGGGGGTGGTGGTTCTTTAAAAAAAGTACAATGAAATGTTTACTAGAACTTCATCCAGATATTTATTTGGTATACACACACACACACACACACACACACACACACGTGTGTCTGTGTTTCTGTGGAATAGGCAGGATATAAATATATATAAACACATCAGGATAGAGAAAACATGCAAGGAATTAACATATGTATGTGATGAATGACTGGCACAAAATGAATTATACCTGACAAATAATGATAAAAATGTGATCTGGTGATCTGGATTAAGAGGGCTTTAAACTGAATGCAAGGGAAAGGAAAAGAATGGAATGAAAACCGTAAGTAGGGGCAAATTAAAATTGTAAAGAGAGGATCTCAATTATAGACTTGTGCACTGTAGAATGTGGGGGTGTTGCTGAAACTGAATATCTTAAACTGCTAAAAAAATTAATTAGAACCTTGATTCAAAATTAATGGTCCTCATAATCCATTCATTTATGCTCAGACTATGGGAAATTAATATGTTGAACCTCAGTTCTTACTAATAAAGTACAAATATTTAATACCATAGGTAAAACAGAGACTTGGTAGGATGATTCCAATAACTGCAACTCTAGCAACTGAAGAATATAATTTTTTGAAAAAAATAGAAGCAACTGAGAGAACGAATAGCATGGTATTCTAACCCTTGACAATTATTTTTTCCTGCTCGGAACTTCAGATAGATAATCTTGGCAATGCTTCCAAACATTAAAATGTAAATCCATTGTAGTGATGGAAACCTTTTATTATCCTCACATTTGTTGGGAGAAAAATTCTGCCAAGCTTGATTCTTCCAGAAAACTCCTGCTTTGTCTTTCTCCTCCTCTAGAGGAAGGAAAACACAAGAGGATTATCTCTCCATGATAGTAATAAGATTACATTTCTTAAAGTGGAGATAGCAGGAACATTGGCAGAAAGTGATCATATAATGCTAGATTTTTAAGGAAAGTTAAACCTGAACATAGTCAAACACATACCCTGGACTTTAAAAAAATGATATTAATAAACTCAGCTATGATGAGTAGGAACTTTACCACTGTCACTCCTAAACCTGGATGCCAATGGAGAAAGGCTGGAGACCAAGCTAGAAACTGACCCCACGATTTTTTTCACTGCTGTTGAAGATGCAGTTCAACCAGAATTGATTAAAATCATTGGAGAGCAATCATTGTCCAATATTCTGCAGTGCACAAGTGGACCTAAGTGAGAATATGATAAGTAGATTCCAAGGGCAGGAGAGGTTAATAGAAAAGGAACTTAAGAAGTATGGGAATTATTAAAGACAGTGCTGTTAAAAACACAACGGCAAACTATTCTAGTGGGGTGGGGGAGAAAAAACAGAGGACAGAGAAAAGTGCCAGTGCAGATATACAGTATGTAGCTAGCCTGGAAATATAGCGGTGGTGTTAGGAAACCAAGGATCCAGAATGAAGAGTGATTAATCAAGGAATCTAAGAATAACAAGAAAAACTTGCTTAAGGAAGCTTCTAAAAGGAAAAGAACAGAATCAGTATTCTAGCTGGTCAGTGATAAAAACAAAATGTGAATGGTTAATAAAAGGATAATTAGAGCTACTGAAGTGTTACCACAATGCAAGCTTCTCCAACCGGAAAATATGGGTTCCACTAGAAAATGACAAAGAGTAGGATGAACAGGCATGATTAAAACTTGAGATCAATAATATCTGATCATAGAATTATTCTGTTATTTGAATGAGTTTCAGTCTCCTGGACCAGATGAATTGCAATCTAGGGAACTGATAAAACTATCTGATGGTCAATCAGACTGGATATAAATTATATAACTAACTTAATAATTAAGTAATTTTCAGAAATCCTGGTGAACTAGTAAAGTGAATTTGGATTCATG